TAAACAAGGCGAATTCATATTACAACAAACACATCATTTTGACATTAGTTGTGTTTTTTTACAAATTATCCAGTAACTTGCCAGTAACTCTCCAGTAACTTTATTTCTAAGAATTCGCTCTCATAGAAAAAATTTGCAAAAAAGTACGCGAACGCTTTTCCAGTAATAATTTGCAAGTTTCATGAACAGCTCATAAATTGGTTGTTTATTCGCAGCAAATTCCTTATAGAACAATATATTTTGTATTTAAATAGGTTTATTTTGTGAAATTCAACAATAAAAAGCCACAAACAGTTTCCTTATTAGTTTAAATTTCATCCAGCAACATGCGATCAGCTGTTTTTCGTACTGGCAAATTCTTACAAGTAAAAATTTATCCAGTAAAATCCAGTAAAAACTTGCAACTTCAGCTGTCATTTTTCGCTCTCTCAATTTCCCCTACTTTGCAAGTTTTTGCGTACGAAAACGCCAAAACATGAAAATTCGTAAAAACTTTTACTGGATTTTACTGGAAATGAGTAAAAAAACGCAACTATTATGGTCATGCCAGTATTGTCTCGTGTAAACCCTAAAGGTCTGCATACTTCGCACAACCATTTGTAACAGTGCAATAAAAATGTAACTTAAGAAAATGTGAAGCAAAATCTAAACTCAACAGATAGCTAAGTTAAAAGTTCTGCTAATATCTGGGTAATGGAATACATACAAAATACTTAAAAAGTACATCCGAAATTACAGCTTGAAGCTTATGCGCAGTTGTGCGATGTTATGCGAAGTAAGCATAATCAGATCATAAGTAAGTTTGTGTGAAAAGCGTACGACTTTTCGATGTGGCATCTTTATGAAACAGGACCACAAGAAACAAATGCAACTTCCTAATTATTTCCGAGTTCCGCTTTGTGCTTCCGGTTCGTCCGGTAAAACCAAAAACCCAAAAAAGGTCCGTTCGATAACCTGATAACTATCACAAATTATCAGGATTTGCCTTTCGCGTACGCAAAAAATTGCAATTTAGGGGAAATTGACAGTAGATTTTAGGAAGAAGTTTTAACAGCAGCAATTTGCCAACAAAATAACAGCCAATGAAAGTCATCTGTTTGCAATATATGAAAATGATGAATTTATTTTGATGATTTTTAAGTTTAAAACAATTGATTAGAGCTGCAAATGTTTGGGAAGAAGAAAGCAAATACTCATTTACTTATGTCCTTATTTATAAAAAATAAAGTAGGTATAAAAGGTATAAAAGCATAGAACAATGAATCCGCCTTAAACCTTTTTTAAAGTTCCTTTAATTTTTATGAATAAGGCTATTCTATTATATTATTTTCATG